AGAGCACGAAGTGGCCTACAGTTGGCTCCGGGCATCCAAAATGTGGCCCGGGAATGGAGTTCTGGGAAATCGAAGAGCACGAAGTGGCCTACAGTTGGCTCCGGGCATCCAAAATGTGGCCCGGGAATGGAGTTCTGGGAAATCGAAGAGCACGAAGTGGCCTACAGTTGGCTCCGGGCATCCAAAATGTGGCCCGGGAATGGAGTTCTGGGAAATCGAAGAGCACGAAGTGGGCACGAAGTGTGTGACTGTATGCGAAAAACGATCCCCGCCGGCAAACCCCAACAGCCCCCCAACTGCCCCCAACGGCTGCCCAGACCCCCCTGTGGAGTAATGTTGAAGTAATGTTGAAGTAATGTGCTGCTCTCTTTTGACACCACTAGAAACCTACCAGTCTTCGATGTTAGGTAAAAAAGTCGGAACCCGAAACATAGAGAGAAAAAAAACGAAAAATAGAGAGAAAAAAAAACAAAAAAAAAACTCCTCCCAGAAGGCCCATTGCAAGTACCGGTTCCGTGTCCAGTCGCGCGTCCGCGCGCGCATTTCGCGGAAGACGGGTCGGAAACAGGAAAAAAGTCGGAGCCCGAAAAATCAGAAAAAAAAAATATTAATACGAATTTCCCTTCCCAGACGGCCCATTGCAAGCACCGTTTCCGCGTCCAGTCGCGCGTCCGCGCGCGCATTTCGCGGAGGACGGGTCGGAAACAGGAATAAAAATGGGAGCCCGACAAAAAAAATCCCCCTCCCAGACGGCCCATTGCAAGTACCGCCCCCGTGGCCGGCTGCGCGTCCTTTTGGGTGGATCTGAACATATTTTCAATGGATTTGGGAGGATGTGGGTGGGTTTGGAAGGATTTGGGGGGATTCTGGTGGATTTGGATGGTTGTGGGTGAATTGGGGAGGAATTGGGTGGGTTTGGGAAGGTTTGGGTGGGTTTGGGAGGATTTGGGCGGGTTTGGGAGGATCTGGGTGGATTTGGGAGGATTCGAGTGTGTATTGGAGGATGTGGAAGGATTTGGGAGGATTTGGGCGGATTTGGGAGAAGGGGGCGGATTTGGGAGGATTTGGGAGGATTGGGTAGACTTTGGGCAGACTTGGGAGGATGTGGGTGGGTTGGGGAGGATCGGGGAGACTTTGGGAAGATGTTGGGTGGGTTGGGGAGGATTCGGGTGGGTTCGGGAGGATTTGGGGGATTCTGATGGATTTGGGAAGATTTGGGAGGATTTGGGTGGGTTTGGCAGGATTGGGCGGGTTTGGGAGGATTTGGGCGGGTTTGGGGGGATTTCGGAAGAAGATTTCCCAACCGCGGCGATGCCCCGGAGGAGTCTCCAGCCGTGGCACGGCCTAAAAAGGATTCCCCAAACGGATTCCCCAGCCCTGGCGCGGCCCAAAGAGGATTCCCCAAACGGATTCCCCAGCCCTGGCGCGGCCCAAAAGGACTCCAAAACCTGGCGCGGCAAAAAGGATTCCCCAAACGGATTCCCCAGCCCTGGCGCGGTCCTAGAGGATTTCCCTGCCCTGGCGCGGCCCTAGAGGATTCCCAAAACGGATTCCCCAGCCCGGGCGCGGCCGTAGAGGATTCCCCAGCCCTGGCGCGGCCCCAGAGGATTCCCCAGCCCGGGCGATTCCCCAGCCCTGGCGCGGCCCTAGACAGAGGATTCCCTAGCCCCGGCGCGGCCCTAGAGGATTCCCCAATCCTGGCGCTGCCCTAGAGGATTCTCCAGCCCTGGCGCGGCCCTAGAGGATTCCCCTGCCCTGGCGCGGCCCTAGAGGATTCCCCAGCCCTGGCGCGGCGTTAGAGGATTCCCCAGCCCTGGCGCGGCCCTAGAGGATTCCCCCGCCCTGGCGCGGCCCTAGAGGATTCCCCAGCCCTGGCGCGGCCCTAGAGGATTCCGCAGCCCTGGCGCGGCCCTAGAGGATTCCCCAGCCCTGGCGCGGCCCTAGAGGATTCCCCTGCCCTGGCGCGGCCCTAGAGGATTCCCCAGCCCTGGCGCGGCCCTGGAGGATTCACCAGCCCCGGCGCGGCCCTAGAGGATTCCCCAGCCCTGGCGCGGCCCTGGAGGATTCCCCAACCCTGGCGCGGCCCTAGAGGATTCCCCAGCCCTGGCGCGGCCCTGGAGGATTCCCCAGCCCCGGCGCGGCCCTAGAGGATTCGCGGCTCTAAGGGATTGGACCAGATCCCGATCTAGACCATTGTGACGAGGAAGAGGTCTGCTGGACCAGATCACGATCTAGTCTAAACGAAATCGTGAATGAAGGGAAGTGGGTTCACCTCGAACGGACTAGATCACGATCTAGTCTAAAACAGATCGGGAATCAGCCTAACATCAACGCGGTGGTGCATGCGAGCGCGGCCACGGGTGCACTCGGTGAAGCTCCCTATGGGACCACGAAGCGTGTGAGATGTGCGGCGACATGAATGCGGTGGTGCCATGCGAGCGCAGCCACTCGGGCACTCGGTGGAACTCACCATGGGGCCACGAAGCATGTGAGGGGTGTGCCGACATGGGTGCGGTGGTGCCATACGAGCCCAGCACTGGGGCCGTCGGTGGAGCTCCCTATGCGGACACGAAGTGTGTGAAAAAGTGTGCCGGATTGCGCGCCGTGGTGCTATGGGAGCGAAACCATTGGGGCCAACGGTGGAGTCCCCTGTGGTTCCGCAAAGCGTGTGAGGGGTGTGCCGACATGGGTGCGGTGGTGCCATGCGAGCGCAGCCACTGGGGCCCTCGGCAGAGCTCCTTCCTCATGGGGCCACGAAACGTGTGTGGTGTGCGGAAGTGGGCGCGGTGGTGCCATGCGAGCGCAGCCGCTGGGGCCTTCGGTGGAACTCCCTGTGGGACCACGAAGCGTGTTAGGGGTGTGCCGAAATGGGTGGTGTGGTGTCATGCGAGCGCAGGCATTGGGGCCTTCGGTGGAGCTCCGTATTAGGACGTGGCCACGGAGCGTGTGAGGGGAGTGCCGAAAATCATTGCGGTTGCGCCAAGCGAGCGCAGCCACCGGTGCCTTCGGTGGACCTCCCTATGGGCCCACGAACCGTGTGAGGTGTTTGTGTGTGTGCCGAAACTGGAACATGTGGATGGCAGAGGCAAGGAGTGGGCGAGGGAGGAGGGGACGGAGGAGGAAGAGAGAAAAGGGACGCGTGGGGCTTTCTCTTCACAAAGAGGATCCAACACCACAGGATGGTTGGGAGAAGGGGCCCAGCTGGTCTTGAGGTCGGCGGGGCCATTTTTCCAAACCCTCCCGTTGGGTTCTCGTTTTGAACAAAGCAGTGGGGTCTTCTCTTTCTCCTCCTCCTCCTCCTCGCCCTCCCCCCGCTCTCCTCTTGGCTCTCTCTCCTCTCGCCATCCCTGGGGGGCTGCGAAGTGCGAACCTGTCGCCACTTTCGAGGGCTGCTGGGGAAACCCGCACAGTGGGACCCCACGCGGACCCACATGGGACCTCGCCATCCCTGGGGGGCTGCGAAGGGGGAAACTGTCGCCACTTTCAAGGGCTGCTGGGGGAGCCCGCACAGTGGGACCCCACGCGGACCCACATGGGACCTCGCCATCCCTGGGGGGCTGCGAAGTGAGAACCTCGCCACTTTCGAGGGCTGCTGGGGAAACCCGCACAGTGGGGCCCCACGCGGACCCACATGGGACCTCGCCATCCCTGGGGGGCTGCGAAGTGTGAACCTGTCGCCATTTTCGAGGGCTGCTGGGGCATGGTGGGGCCGCTGGGGGCACTCTTGGGGCCCGCTGGTGGTCTGAGAGGCTCTCTTAGGCAGTCTTGACGCCGTCTTTTTTATTGAGCCAGTCGATCAGCTGGCATTGATGGCGCGCTCCTCCAGCGTAGGGGGACTCAAAGTCGTACTGCTCACGCCTATCTTCACGGCCCTCCAAATTCCAAGAGGCGCAATCAAAACAGCAGGAAATTCTGCAAGAGCCGTATCGCGCACAGGACGTCATGACTGCCGCTTGACTGCATCGACTCAAACATCGAAGGTGAAAGGATGACATCGCAGTGGCACGGAGTGACGGGGAAGACACCGAGCAGGAGGAGGAGGAGGAGGAGGAGGAGGAGGACACTGCCGACGACCATCAAAGCTTGCCGCTGAATTAACGGCGGCACTTAAAATCATGAGCTGGCATTTCATGAAATTAACCAGCCTGCAAGATTCGCGTGCGCATGGACCTATGACTCTCTCCCCCCGTGCCCATATTCATAGATGGGAGACGTTTTCTCCTTAACCATCACCCCCTCGCGCTCCCCCCGACGGGGATGCCCCCCACCCCACACCCATGGCCAGCTACCACCCGAGCGCAAAGCAAAAACCAGACCTGTATTGCGCCCACGCCTGCGTGACGTGCGCCAACTCGCTGCTGCAGCCGTCGCTGCTTGACTCTGCGGACGCAATGGACGCAAGCGAGCTCCACGGAAAGAGACTCAACTGTTGCTCTGAGCGCCGCATTGAATCAAACCATGATCACAGTTTGCCGCGGGATTGACGGCGGCATTTAAAACATGACACCGATAAGATTCATCAGCCTGCAAAAGTCGCACGCGCATGGACCTATGAGACTTCCTTCCCGTGCCCGCAATCATAGATGGGAGACGCTTCCTCCTCAACCATCACCCCCTCGCGCTCCCCCCGACGGGGATCCCCCCCCACCTATGGCCAGCTACCACCCGCGCGCAAAGCGACAACCAGACCTGTCCTGCGTCCACGCCGGCGTGACGTGCGCCAACTCGCTGCTACAGTCGTCGCTGCTTGACTCTGCGGACAAAAAATTGACGCAAGCGAGCTCCACGGGCAAAACTCAGCTGTTGCGCCGCATTGAATCAAAACCATGATCACAGTTTGCCGCTGAATTGACGGCGGCACTTCAAACATTACACCCATGAAATTAACCAGCCTGCACGATTCGCGTGCGCATGGACCTATGACTCTCTCCCCCCGTGCCCATATTCATAGATGGGAGACGTTTTCTCCTCGACCATCACCCCCTCGCGCTCCCCCCGACGGGGATGCCCCCCACCCCACACCTATGGCCAGCTACCACCCGAGCGCAAAGCGAAAACCAGAGCTGTATTGCGCCCACGCCTGCGTGACGTGCGCCAACTCGCTGCTGCAGTCGTCGCTGCTTGACTCTGCGGACGCAATGGACGCAAGCGAGCTCCACGGAAAGAGACTCAACTGTTGCTCTGAGCGCCGCATTGAATCAAACCATGATCACAGTTTGCCGCGGGATTGACGGCGGCATTTAAAATCTAACACATGATACCGAGAATATTCATCAGCCTGCAAAAGTCGCACGCGCATGGACCTGTGAGACTTCCTTCCCGTGCCCGCAATCATAGATGGGAGACGCTTCCTCCTCAACCATCACCCCCTCGCGCTCCCCCCGACGGGGATCCCCTCCCCACCTATGGCCAGCTACCACCCGCGCGCAAAGCGACAACCAGACCTGTCCTGCGTCCACGCCGGCGTGACGTGCGCCAACTCGCTGCTGCAGCCGTCGCTGCTTGACTCTGCGGACAAAAAATTGACGCAAGCGAGCTCCACGGGCAAAACTCAGCTGTTGCGCCGCATTGAATCAAAACCATGATCACAGTTTGCCGCGGGATTGACGGCGGCATTTAAAACATGACACCGATAATATTCATCAGCCTGCAAGATTCGCGTGCGCATGGACCTATGACTCTCTCGCTCCCTGTGCCCACATTCAAAGATGGGAGGCGGTTCCTCCTCAACCATCACCCCCTCGCGCTTCCCCCGACGGGGGTCCCCCCCCCCTATGGCGAGCTACCACCCGCGCGCAAAGCGACAACCAGACCTGTCCTGCGCCCACGCCGGCGTGACGTGCGCCAACTCGCTGCTGCAGCCGTCGCTGGGACGCGCTATGGACGCAAGCGAGCTCCAGCTGTTGCGCCGCATTGAATCAACACATGATCACAGTTTGCCGATGAATTGACGGCGGCACTTCAAACATTACACTTCAAAATTGACTGCATCGACTCAAACATCGAAGGTGAAGGGATGGCATCGCAGTGGCACGGAGTGACGGGGAAGGCACCGAGCAGGAGGAGGAGGAGGACACTGCCGACGGCCATCAAAGCTTGCCGCTGAATTGATGGCGGCACTCAAAATCATGAGCTGGCATTGACACCCATGAAATTAACCAGCCTGCAAGATGCGTGTACGCTTCGGCCTATGACTCTTCCTCCCCGTGTCCACATTCAAAGATGGGGCACGGTTCCTCCTTAACCATCACCCCCTCGCGCTCCCCCCGACGGGGATCCCCCCCCTATGGCCAGCTACCACCCGAGCGAAAAGCGACAACCAGACCTGTCCTGCGCCCACGCCTGCGTGACGTGCGCCGGCTCGCTGCTGCAGCCGTCGCTGCTCGACTCTGCATTGCGCCTACTCACGTGCGAGCGCGAGCCCCGCGGACTGCCCGCCCACCAAGGGCAGATCGGCGAAGGGCTGCCTGCAGAGGTCCTTGAAATCCAGCCCGCAGAGGCGGCGCTCCAGCATGGTGACGGTGCGGTTCTGCTCGGCGCGCACCAGCTTCCGGACGTTGATGGTGATCTGCGCCTGCCTGTGGCGCATGGCCCGGGTTTCCCAGCCGACGTCAATCAACTCTGCCCAGGGCAGGATCAGGTCGGGAGTGCCGTCGACGCGGACCCGCACCATCGGGGAAGGGGCACGGTCCTGTTGCTCTCGGCCGCGTGCCATGCGGTGGCGGCCGTGGTCCTCCACCTCCTCGGACGTACGCGGGCCTTGGTCCTCGTCCTCCTCCTTCTCATCCACCAGCTCTGCCCCGTCGATGGCGTGGCGCACGAGATCAGCGCCCATCAAGCCCGTGTCGATGCCCACCCGAGCTGGTGGTTGGAATTCCTTCCCGCACGTGTTTGTCATTGCCTGGTTCGCCGCCGCAACCATAAAGATGCGCTCTTGGGCGCGGAGACCGTAGGTTTGAGTCCGACGGGCTTGAACCAACATGCCTTTACGGAGGCAATCTTGAAGCCCTCTTGGGGCCTTCTTGTGGCCGTCTTGGGCGCCTCTTGGGCCGTCTTGGGGCTCTCTGGGGCCGTGTTGGGACTCTCTTGTGGGCCTCTTCTTGGGTCGTCTTGGGGCGATTCGGGGGGCCGTTTGGGCCGAAGAGGACGCTGTGGAAACACGAAAATCGTATATGCTGAAAATGCACGTTTTCCCTAAGTGATGAACCGATTCTGGCTTCATGGAGTCATCTTTCGGCGTTTTTGGAAGACTTTTGGCTCGTCTTGAAGCTATCTTGGCGCGTCTTGGAGCGCTTGCGGGGCGTCTGGGGCGGTCTCGAGCTGGTCCCGGCGGCCTCTGAAGCCGTCCGAGAACCCTGAGGGCCCCGCCCGGGAGCCCTTGGGCAGCCCCGGGCCCCCATGCCACGCCATGGCCGTGGTTCCTGGCATGCCACCAAACGACGACGCCGCCGCCGACGACGACGACAACGACGACGATGACGACGATGACGACGACGACGGCAACGACGACGACGACAGCGATAACGACAACTCTGAGATTCTCCAGGGGAGATCTATGTGAGGCCTCAGGGGCCCAAGTGAGTGAGACCTGAGCCTGTGCCTAGCAAGCCTTGTGGGCCCTCTGGAGGCCCGCCAGCCTAGCCTCTCACTGTTCTCCTTTCCCTTCTCCCTATCGCCCCGTCTCCGTGCACTGTGCATGCCCGTCGCCGTATTTGGGCCCTCGAGGCCGGCCTTTTTAGCTTTAGCTTTAGCTATCGTACGGGGCTCGACTGAGCCCCCGCGAACAGCAGAGCTGATTTGGTCCGCTAGCCAGCGGGAGTGCAAAACAACCAGATCGACAATCAGAACAACGATAATTTCAAGACTTTTCGCTCTCACTGGTACGCGTGTTTTGCATTCTGTATACCCCAGCCCTCGATACCCGCCCACTTCGTCTTCGATCGCACACCCTTTCGGGGGGAATCTCTTCATTGTCGGCCACTGGCTGAAGCGCGAGGAACTCTCGAGCGAGAACGCCGTTCCTGAGTTCGGAGGCCTCTCTGGCTAGGCCAGGGGCTCTCGGAATACATTTTCAGACATATCGAACGGGAACGCTTGTCGCCGTATCTGGGCCTCGACCAGCTTGCCAGACTTACGAGAAAATCTCGAGCGAAAGCGCCACTCTTGAGTTCGGGGGCCTCTCTGGCAAGGGCCTCTGCGAATACATCTTGAGGAAGTATCGAACGAGAGCCCTTGTCGTCGTAGCTGGGCCTCCACCAATTTGATTGAATCACGAGAAAGTCTCGAGCGAGAGCGTCGTTCCTGAGTTCGGGGGCCTTCCTGGCCAGGGGCTCTTTGAATAAATCGTAAGAAATATCGAACAGGAGCCCTTGTCGTCGTGGCTGAGCCTCCGCCAACTTGATTGCATTGCGAGGAAGACTCAAGCGAGAACGCCGTTCCTGAATTCGGGGGCCTCTCTGGCCAGGGTGTCTCGGGGTAAACTGAGAGAGTGTCGACCGGGAGCCGTTGTCGTTGTAGCCGGGACTCCAAGGGCCCACTTTTACACTCAAGCCAACGCTCGCGCGGGAGCCTCGTTTTCAGAGAAAATGTAGCCGTCGTCGAAACGAGAGAGCGCGGAACTGTTTCCGGAGATCAACAATAATAATTCTCTAGAAGTGAACTTTCAACGACGACGACGACGACGACGACGACAACGACGAGGGCGGCGACGATGGCGGCGCTGACGACTCCAGAAATCGAAAACCGCTCAGCATGGGTCACCAGAGCTCTTCGGGGGTCTGTACGGCGACGTTCTTCGCCGCGTGGGAGCAATTTTTTAACCTCTAGGGGGTCTCTTAGGGCCCGTTTTTAATCCTCTTTTTGGAAGCGTCTTGGAGGCCTCTTGGGATCTCTTGGGAGCCTCTGGTGCCTCCTGGGGGCCTCTCGGAGTGGAAAGCTCGAATTGTCGGTTAGTTTGCCTCTCTCGGCCCCCGATTTGGCTCGTCTTGGTGCCCTTTTTGAACGCCTCTTGAACTGTGTTGGGGCCGCCTTGGGCTGTCTTGGGGCTCTCTAGGGGACATCTTGGGCGCCTCTCGAGCCCTTTTGGGTCGCTCATCGTCTGACACGTTCGGGGTCTCACAATGCGAAGAACTGAAGCCGTCTTAGAGCGTCTTGGGGGTGTTGCGGGCCTTCCATGGATGGCTCGCGGCATCTGGGAGCTGTTTTTACGCCTCCTGGGGGCGCCTTGACAACCTTCTGGGACCGGCCGGGACCCCCGGCAACCCAAGTCCAGCCGCGGGCCCCAGGCTCCGTGGCCTCGTGCGAAATATATTCATGTGAATACTCGCAGGAATACACACACACACACACACACATATATATATATATATATACACACACATACATACACATGCATATGTTACAACATACCAGTGCCGATTTTTATGAATAAATACATACAGATCGTAAACGCAGCATCTACGTGTGTGTATATATATATACACATATCTGTGTATAAGCCATCGCGCGCGCTCAAGTTCTAGCAGGCCCCTGCTCTTGACGGGTTCACTGCTCCTGGGGCTTGCGGGAGCCTCTTGCTGGCCTCCTGGGGCCAACTGGGGGCCTCTAGGGCCAGTGACCTCGAAATATCGGTTCGCGGTCCCCCTCTGGGCCCCTTCTTGGGGCGCTCTTGGGGCACACCTGGGTTGGCTGGGGAGCCTCCTGGGCCGTTTTGGGGCCCTCTTCGGGGCCTCATGGGCCGTCTTGGAGCGATCTGAAGGGCCTCCGAGGCCGTGAGGGAGCGCTTGTAAGCAGGAAAAACGAGAACGCCAAAATCCTTCAAAAACCTTTGGGAACTGAATGAACTTTGCCTCCCAGGGCCCTCTTAGGGAGCCTCCAGAGTCCGTCCTGGAACGGAGTCCTCGTCGGCCGTCTTGAGACCATCTTGGGCGTCTTCGGGGCCTCTTGGGGGACCGTCTTGGGCCCTCTTGCGACCCCCTTAGCCTGTCGTGGCCTGTTTCGTGGCGGGTCTGAGCCGTTTCGGGAGTTCTGGGACCACCCCAGAATCTCCAGGGGCGCCCATGGTGGGTACAGGCAGCGGCCCGTCCCCCCCCCCCAGCCTACTCCGAGATCTATAGATGTATACATACATACACACATATATATATATACACACACAAGACTTAAAGCTCGCTGCGTCTCGCTTTAAAGTCGTGGTATAGTGCACTGTGTGCGAGGCGAGGGGGGGAGGACAAACGGGCGTATTGGGCCGAAGCGCAGCTACATGTAGAGGCAAAGGGGGCTGCGAGAAACGGCAGAGCACGTGGGGTGATGGAAGAGGCGTGCGCGGTTCGACGACGGCAACGACGACGACGTTGTTGTCGCCGTCGTCGAACCCATGGTGGTCGCAGGTTCGTCGACGAGCGCTCGTGTTTGTCGGGGCCTGTCGAGGCCATGGAGGTGGTCTGGGACGCTGCACGCGAGTTCCAAGTGCCAGAGAAGCCTTAGGACCCTTGGGGCCCCCGCGGACGGGCCAGAGAGAGCCTCTGAGCCCCCAAGGCCTTCCAGATTCTATCGAAGACGCCTGCAGCGAATCACCGCCGCCCCCTGCCTTTTTGGAAGCGCCTGCGTGGCCGAAAATTGGGTTTGAGCTTGGCCAAGCTATGCGGCCACGCGTTGCCCGAGTGGGTTTTGAAAGCCTTCGGGGAACACGGAGTCGGGCGAGCCATCGGACCAGGTGGTTTCCAAGCTTTCGGGCCTCCTGAAGGACGTCTTGGACGGGTCTTGGGCCGTCTGGGAGGCCTCTGGCGGGCCTTTTGGGCAGTCTACGGCCATTTTCAAGCAATATGGGGCCGTCTTGGGTGCATCTTGGGGCCATCTTCGCCGTCTTGCAGGCATTCTTGAGCGTCTTGGAGGCATCTTGGAGGCCATCTTGGCCGTCTTGGAGGCCTTCTTGGGCGTCTTGGGGGCCTCTTGGGCCGTCTTGGGGTCTTGTTGGAGCCCTCTTGGGGGCCTCTTGGCCTGTCGTGGGGCCAGAGGCCTCTTGGGCGCTCTTGGGGCGATGTTGGGGGCCTTTTGGGCCGTTTTGGGCCGTCGGAAGCTGAAAAGAAGAACATGCCAGAATCCTTCAAAAACATTGGAAAATCCAATGTTGTTGGCCTCTTCGGGCCTTCCTGGTGGAGCTCTTGGAGGCCTGTTGGGCCGTCTTGGAGGCATCTTGTGCGCCTTTTGGGCCACCTTCGGCTCTCTTGGGGGTATTTCTGCCGTCTTGGATGCCATCTTGGTCGTCTTGGAGGTCATCTTGGTAATCGTGAGGTATCTTGGAGACCATCTTGGCCGTTTTTGAAACCTCTTGTGACGTCTAGTGGCCCTCTTGGGGCTGGTTTGAAGGCCTCTTGGACCGTTCTCGAGCCATCTGGGAAGCCTCTGGGACTAGTTTGGGGACTCCTTGAGCCGTCTTAGGCGGTCGGAAAACCCAAACCGAGGAAAACCACAAATCCTTCAAAAACCTACGGAGAATTTGCGATTTTGGCTCCCTCCGGCCTTCCTGGAGCGCCTCTTGGACTCCTCTGGGGCAATCTTGGAACCTCTCGGGCCCATCTTGGGCCATCTTCGCCGTCTTAGCGGCCATCTTGGCCGTCTTGAAACTCATCTTGACCGTGTTGGAAGCATCTGGGAGGCCATCCTGGCCGTCATGGAGACCGTCTTGGGCGTCTTGGAGGCCATCTTGGCCGTCTTGGTGCCCTCTTGGGGCCCTCTTGGGCCGTCATAGGGCCATCTTGGAGGCCTCTTGGGCGCTCTGGGGGCGATCTTTCGGGCTCCTTGGGCCGTCGTGAGCCGTCGGAAGGCTCGAAAAGAACAGAAGCGCAACTCCTTCAAAGACGAAGGGAAAACATTGATTTTGACATCTTCGGGCTCTCGTGAAGGACCTCTTGGAGGCCTCTTGGGCCGTCTTGGAGGCCTCTGGGGCCATCTTGGGCAGGCTGAGAGGTTTCTTGTGCGAACTTGGA